CATTCATCCACTGAAAGGCATCTGGGTTGATTCCATATCTTGGCTATGGAAAACTATGCTACAATGAACATGTTTGTGGCTGGTGGCTTTCATATAGCCTTGTTTGTGGTCAGTTGGGTAAGTGCCCAGGAGGGGATTGCTGGGTAATAAGGAAGCTCTGTTTAATCTTTTGAGGAACTTCCATACTGCTTTCCATGGTGGTTGAATAAGTTTACAGTCCCACTAATAGTGTAGTAGTATTCCTTTTTGGCACCATCCATGCCAGCATCTGTTATTGTTAGTTTTGTTGATAATGGCCATTCTAACTTGGGTCAGGTGGAATCTCAATGTAGTCTTGATTTGCATTTTTTATGGCCAGAGATGTCAACCATCTATTTAAGTGTCTATTGGCCATTCTTTTTTCTTCTTCAGAGAAGTCTCTCTAATTCTTTAGCCCATTTATTAATTGGGTTGCTGATTCTTTGAGGATCTGCTTTTGGGAGGTTTAATTTTTTGAGCTCTGAGTATATTTTAGATATGAAGCCCTTGTCTGATGCATAGCTAATAAAGATCTCCCATATTATGGACTTTCTATTTATATTGCTAGCTATGTCCCTTGCTATGCAAAAACTCTTTAGTTTGATGCAATCCCAGTAATCTAGTCTTTCTTTGATTTGTTGTGATTCTGTATTTTTACTTAGGAAGTTTTTACCTGTGCCTTAGTGTTTCCTCCATCCCTTCTGATAATATTTTCAGGGTATCTGATCTTACATTGAAGTCTTTGATCCCTTTATAGTTGATTCTGGTGCAGGATGATATATAAAGATCTGACTTCAGTTTTCTGCATATAGTGTATAGCCAATTCTGCCAGCACCATTTGTTGAAGATGCTATCTTTCTTCCTGTGTTTTTGGCTCCCTTATCAAATATTATATGACTATAGGTCTGTGGGTTCATTTCTGGGTCTTCTATTAATCCTCAGGCCTATTCTTGTGCCAGTATCAAACTATATTAACTTTGACTTTAAATAATGTTCTGTTGTGGTTTGGGATTTGCTTTTGTTTCCAAAAGGGCAGACCAAATCATAGAAACTCAAGAAAAATGGCAAATCAAGGAACTTCAACTCCTATACAAAATAAAAAGGCAAAAGAGTAACCAATAAAAGATCTAAAAGATGGTTCTCAAAATATTTAAAATCAGGGGCTGGGGAAGTGGCTCAGTGGTAGAGCACTTGCCTTGTATACATGAGGCCCTGGGTTCGATTCCCTAGCACCACATGAGCAAAAAGAAAAAAGCCAGAAGTGGCGCAGTGGCTCAAGTGGTAGAGCGCTAGCCTTGAGCTAAAAGAGCTGAGGGACAGCGCCCAGGCCCAGAGTTCAAGCCCCACTACCAGACCCCCCCAAAAATATATATATATTTAAAATCACTGCTGATATATATGTTGAATGAAAAGTTAGAAAGCCTGCATAAGACTATGCAAGAGTTTGATGAGACTAACCAAAGATTGTTAGAGGAACTCATGGAGTCCACAAACAGAAACCTAAAGGAATTCTAAAAGAAGCAAAGGTAGTCCAATGAAAAAAGTAGTCACTCAGCTAAAGAATATGAGATAAATCAACATACATAATAAAATCAAGGAAGAAGTCCATATACAACTTAAAAGAAAGCTTCAATGAACAGATTGAAGCTATGAAAACGATCAATTAGAAGTCAGGGGAAGAAAAAACAAAGTAGAAAGTCTTGCTAGCAGGTTAGACAAAGTAGAAGACAGAGTCTCTGGAATCAAAGACCAGATATACAGAGAAAGAACAAATTTTCAAAACAAAGCCAAGAAATGTGCTTGCTGGAACTTCAGGACTCAATCAGAAGACCTAATTTAAGGCTAGTAGGTATTGATGAAGGTCAAGGGAAGCTAAAGGGATAGGGAATATATTGAACAAAATTCTGGCAGAGAATTTCCTGAACATCCAAAAACAATAGGCCCATTCAGATACACGAAGCCTGTAGCTGATATTTGCATTGTGGAATTTCTCAATACCAACACTTCAGACTTTCCTGTACTTTTCTAATGGATATGTATGAGACCTTCTATTTTAATGGTCCCTTTTCTCACTCTGGAAGAAGAAGCTGCTGTCTCTTGAGTAGCCCATGGACAAGCTACATGAGGGGAACCAAAACCTCTCCCGACACTCAGCAATGAGTGGAGGCTACCAAGCATGTGGTTAAACTGGAAGCTGACATTAACCTTATTTGACTTTGAGATGACCAAGGACAACATTTGCTTCCTGCTTGTAGACTCATGAGAGACCCACTAAGTTATTCCATTTTTTTGTGAGCCTAAGAAATTGTGTCTAATTGTACACATTTGCTGTTTTAAAAGATCAGGTTTTCAGATAAAGAAATGAGAGGCAGTAGGTACATTGTGGTTTCATTTTATGCACCTTTCTGTCTTCTGTGATTTCAGTTATCTGTACTCCACTGTGCCTGAAAATCCTAAAATGGAAAATTCCAGAAATAAGAGAGACATCGCATTGGCATAACTCTCTTATTATAGTTTACTGGTATGAGTATTCCATTTTATTATTGTTGTTAATCTTACTGTGCCTAATTTATAAATTCATAGGTATAGATGTAAGGGGGAAAACATATACCATGTACTATATATAGGGTCACTCTTATGTCAAGTTTCAGACGGTAGTCTTAGAATGTGTTTTTCATAGATCATGGACCTAGAAGTAGAATATTGCCATGATAACCCCCAAATTCTGAGAAATATTGAAAGCACAAAATAATTTTGGGCGGAGTGGGTTGAAGGCCTGACAATGTTACTCTAATCCTCACAAACTTTGCAAAAAAGGTAAGGGCTTGTGGGAAAGTGAGCAAAACATACATGGATAGAAAACATGGAGAGAAGGTGTTTAGTATGGAGCTTCAGATAGTTGAACAAAGCTCTGTCTGCAGTTATATAGGACTAGATAATGCATCCCTTGAATTGGCTGTGTCAACTAAGGACATTGGAACCCTGTGGACTCTAAGTGCCACTTGGATTGTTCTTGCTACTGACTGAAAAAGGCAAATGAAGAAAGGCAAAGGAAGGACTGTTAAAATGAGTCAAGACTTGATGTTTCAGAAAACTCTCAGCTTCCAGAAGGCAAATGACTTTACAATGAAGAAATAACTTCTGACCCCTAAGATCCAACCCCAGGAAAATATGGTTCAAGGAAGAAGCCAAGCCAATCATTTGTGAAAATCTCAGGAGTATTAAAGGAATTCCACAAGGTAGCATGCATGGAGACCTGGGCATGCTAAAGAGGTTAAGGATGTGCCCAAATTACTGTCAATCAGACAGCATAGGCTCTTTAGAAAGCCCAACTACAAGCTCCTTGTAGTTGGAATCCAAAAGATTTTTTTGTGTGTGTGCTGGTCCGGAGGGGTGAACTCAGGGCCTGGGCATTGTTCTTGAGCTTTTGTGTTCAAGGCTAGTGCTCTACTGCTTTGAGCCACATACAGCACCATTTCCAGCTTTTTGGTAGTTAATTGGAGATAAAATTCTCATGGAATTTACTGCCTGGTCTAGCTTTGAAGTGGGATCCTCAGATCTCAACCTTCTGAGTAGCTAGGATTATAGGTGTGAGCCACAGACACCCTGCTGGAAGACCATACTTTGATGGCTTTTGTAGTTTTTGCTTTCATCTAATGAAGTGAGCTCCTATAAGACTCACGGAAAACTCATAAAGCTTTTAAAACAAATTATATAAGCAGGACAATTTCCTGCTTAGATTAAAAGGAACAGAGAGAAAATAAAATGAAGAAATATTTGGATCCCCTAAATTTTACTGGCAGAAAGCAGTCTGGGAAAACTAGATGCAAAGTTTTGGTTTCTTGTTTTTAAAGGTTCAGGGTTGGAGATGTAGCTCGTTGGGAAAATGTTTGCCAGGATTTGATCCTCAGTACCACAAGGAAGTTAAAAAAGTCAAACAACAAAAAAGAGGAGGGAATCAAAGAAGGGAAAAAGGAAGGAAACATATGAAAATGACATAGTGAAAACCAATATGTATAATTAATATTCATAAGCAATTATAATCAAATAAGGTCATAACAAAAAGGAAGGACCAGAATACTGAGCCCAGTATTGCTTTTTCAAAGCCAGACCTTGAGAGTATTGAAGAACAACCAATACCTCTTGTCAGGATTTCATAGCTGTTAATGGAGCTGTGATTCCAGCCTCTCGTTACTCGTAGCTTTGTCTAGTTGCCTCCTGCTTCATACTAGGACTGAGCTGTTTGATGAGAAGCACACAGTAGAAATGCTGTTGTGTTATTTTTTTGAGATTAGGTTGTACAACTTAGGTTAATAATAAGGATGGCAGCCTGCCCCCTTCTCTCCCGCTCACCCCCAGTCAGTCACATTCACTGATTTTGCTGATAGTTGTCCAAATGAGACCCTCTCATCACATTTTCAAGAATATTATTAGTAGATTTATTTACAGAGTTTCTATACATTATGGTTTGCATGAATTAGTCCTGGGTCATGTCAATTGTCCTACATAAATGTATTCCATTCCAAATGCCATGGATTGGATGATAAATTATATAACTAAAATTATGAACATACTTTCCAGTGTAGCCATATGCCATTTACATGTTCTAAACTCAAGCCATTATATGGAATGTATAATGTGGAATGTGGTGTGTGTGTGTGTGTGTGTGTGTGTGTGTGTGTGTGTTTGTTTGAGAGAGAGAGACAGAGAGAGACAGAGACAGAGGGGGGAATGGAGAGAGAAAAGAGTTATGCTAGTCTCTAGTAAGTATTTCTGCTCTGTGGTTCTGGAAAGAATGTAAGTAAGCAAGTGAGAAAAAATCAGTAACAATATAAGGTTGATATTAAAGATATGATTCTAAAGGTATGATTCAAAGGTATGTTCTCTGAGGATCATCCTAGTTGAAGAAAAAGCTAATTTTAATCGATATTTCAAGCGTGCTTTTAATCAATTTAATTTCACTTCTGTTTTCTTTTATACAGGATTCAGAATTTGAAGGGGAAGGAGTCAGCCAAGATATTCCTAGGCCATCTTTAGAAACTAACAAAATATTGAAGAGGTTTGTACCTTAATGTTAGATTTGATGCTGTGTGTGTGTGTGTGTGTGTGTGTGTGTGTGTGTGTGTGTGTGTGTGTGTGTGTGTGTGTATGAATTAAGTAAAGGCTGATTATAGATGATAGACATCCTTGCTTTGATTTGCCTGACAAGTCATAGTTTTTGGAAGCTAGGATCATACATTATCCTGGGATATATTTGTGTCCCTTTATTCATATGGTGTTTGGTAATGGGGTATCTAATCCATGGTAGTATAACACAGTGTAAAGGTATCTTTTAAAAATTTTTTTCCTGGAAAATGACAACATCTTTGGGCCATGCAAGGACTTCTGGAAGTGGATATGACTATCGCTTCTTCTCCTGTAGCAGCAGCATACGTAGGTTCAGAGGCAGCTTGCATGTGATAGTCTTACTTTGAACATTAAGAATTATCCTTCCCTGCTTGTCCTAGACATACACTAGTTATTGCAAATAAGGGAAACCATGGGACCTACATTTCTTTGGGCCTGGCTTATATGACCATATCAGATGATATTAAACAAAATGAACCCCAAGATAGGGACACAATGATTTTTTTCTTTCTTGCTATTGTTTTTAACATATTTATAATGTACTATGTGATTTTTTTCTTTTGTAGATTCTTCCCCCACAGTATAACCCCTGTATTCTCTGTATAACCCCTGTATTCTCTGTATTTGATTCTGGTGCTCTGCATCTTGTATGTACATTTTTCTAAGTTGGGGAGGGGAAGGGAAATGACAAAATGCTGAAATAAGGATACAGGTTGACCCATTGTAACAATGAGATGCACAAGACACTATGATGAAAATGAACTTTACAACTTCGGGGCAGGGGAGGGGGAAGGGAGGAGTTGGGGAGGTGGGGTGGGAAGGGATGGTAGGGGAAAAACAAAGGATGAGGTAGCAATGCTTAATAGGAAATGTACTCTTTACCTTACTCATGTAACCCCTCTGTACAGTATTTTTACAATAAAAAACATATAAAAATTATCCTTCCCATGTGACTAGTAAACATTCTTTGTTTTTTTTTTTTTTTGGGTCCGGTCGTGGGGCCTGAACGCTGGGCCTGGGCGCTGTCCCTCAGCTCTTCAGTTCAAGGCTAGCGCTCTACCACTTGAGCCACAGCGCCACTTCCGGCTTTTTTCTTTTTGCTTATGTGGTACTGAGGAATCGAACCCAGGGTCTCAGGCATGCAAGGCAAGCGCTCTACCACTGAGCCAACTTCCCAGCCCCTAGTCAACATTCTTTAGCATCAGTTGCTCCTCAGTTAATCAGAAATGCTCGTACTTTGTTGGACTGCTACAAGGGCAGGTTGAATGAGATAAAAAAAAATACAAGGTGGCAGAGTGCTGGTGGCTCACAACTGTAATCCTAGTTAATTAGGAGGCTGAAATCAGAGGATCAAGGTTGTGAACCAGTCCAGGAAGACAAGTCTAAGAGACTAGACTCTTGTTTCCAAGTAACTAGCAGCCAGAAGTGGAGGTGGGGTTCAAGTGGTAGAGTGCCACTTATGAGTGGACATAGCCAGAGAAGAATGACACAAGTGCCAGTTCTTAAGTTCAAGCCCTGATGCTTGCACAATAACAAACAAAATACAATGTGTTTGAGTGACTCACTCTGTGCATGCTTACTACTTGGTAAATGCCATTTCATACTAAGAAAACCAGTGTCTCTCAAAAGTGGTCAATATTGTCCACATGGGATGCTTGGTGATAGCTGGTGACCTTTTTGATTGTCCTAGCTGGGATTAAATGGGATGGTGGTGTTATTTAGTGAGTGTAGGATGAAATTCTTCTAAATGATATCCAAGTCACAGGACAGGCTCTGAAACAAACAAGTATCTGATTCAAAATGTCAGCAATGGTGGGACCAAGATAACTTTCTGTAAACCCTAAAGCTTCTTTATGCCCTTTTCTATAACTGCAACTGCATTTAGCATGCCGATAAGACGTCCACTCCAGTGGGACCTGCCTGCCTGTGAGGACTATTTAGTATCTGACAGAAGAGTCCTTGCAGACAGGGTCCTCCGTCACGAAAGCATCATTTCAACATGTAGCTTGACAACAGTGCGGGGTAGAATAGCATCCTTCCCCAGGCCAGAGCTTCTAACGAGAAGACTGGAAATGGTCAGAGAGGTCTTCAAGACTGTGTAGATGAGAGAGCCAGTGAAAGGCTAATGCAACATAGTGAACAATAGGAACCAATTTCAATATCCAACAATAAAAGGTTCATTGAAGTAGATTATGGTTGGCTTTGAGAATGAAACTCTAGGCAATACCTAAAAATTAGGTGGTAGGAAAAATGCCTATAATACACAGAGTAGAAACTGAAGGGTATACATGTTTACAGAGTTAGTTTTGTTGTGTATTAAAAAATGCAACTACCGACTATGAAGAATAGAGGTCAATTTGTTCATGGATGCTTTGTCTGGACTGCAGGCCATTGGGAAGATTTTGTAAAATTTCATTTTATTGTAAAGATGTTGTACAGAGGGGTTACAGTTACATGAATAAGGTAATGAGTACATTTCTTGTCCAGCATTGTTATCCCTCCTTTGTTTTTCTCTTACTATCCCTTTCTTCCCCCACCTCCCTCATTCCTCCCCCACCCCTGAAGTTGTAGTGTTCATTTCCAACATAGTGTTTTGTGAGTATCATTGTTACAATGTGTCAACCTGTGTTCTTGTTTCAGCATTTTATTATTCCCCTTCCCCTTCCCAAATTAGATAAATGTATATACAAGATTCAGGGTACCAAAATCAAATACAGTGACAACAAGGGATATACCATAGGGGAAGAAATATTCAAAAGAAGCAACAAAAGCATATAGTACATTAAAAATACCAACAAAAAAACCTCTTGTGTCCATATCTTGGGGTTCATTTCACTTGACATTATCATGTATAGTCATATATATATACATAGCTTTTGAGCTCTTCTGCTCATTTGATAAGATTATCCTAGATGTATACTAAAGTAGAGCTCCCCTACGACCCAGCAATCCCACTTCTGGTCATTTACCCAAATGATCACAAACAAGGACATACTAAAGCTACCAGCACAACTATGTTTATCACAGCATTATTCACCATAGCTAAGATATGGAACCAACCCAAATGCCCCTCAGTAGATAAATGGATTAAGAAAATGTGAAATATATATATGTGTGTGTGTGTGTGTGTGTGTGTGTGTGTGTGTGTGTGTATAATGGAATTCTATGCTTCCATCAGAAAGAATGACACCACCCCATTTGTTTGGAAATAGAGACTTGAAAAAAATCATACTAAGTGAAGTAAGCCAGACCCAAAGAAATCTTCCCATGGGAACACTTTTTATAAGTTACCAACACATCTTTTTAAAACATACAAAACCTGCATCTAAGCTGGGTGCTCGTGGCTCACACCTATAATCCTAGGTACTTAGGAGGCTGAGATCTGAGGATGGTGGTTTGAAGCCAGCCCAGGCAGAAAAGTCTATGAGACTCTTATCTCTGATTAACCACCAGAAAACCAGAAGTGGCTCTGTGGCTCAAAGTGGTAGAGTCGTAGCCTTGAATGAAAGAACTCAGGGACAGCTCCCAGGCCCTGAGTTCAAGATGCATCACTGACAACAAAACAAAGCAACAACAAGAAAAGTAAAATGCCAATGCAGCTAGTTCTGTGCCTTTCATACTCATGACTCAATAAATCTTGGTTAGAAAGGTATTTCAAAGAAAGTCTTATATCTGTACTGCACATGTACAGCTTTTTTCTTGTCCTTCCCTTGAGCAATACAGTATAACAACTATTTCTAGAACATTTGCTTTGTATTAGGTATTATAAGTCATGGGAAGAGTCTTCAAGTACACAGGACGGGCACATGTTCTGTTCAACATGAGGCCATGTATAAGGGACGAGTTCAATAACCAACCCTTGGTGGGTTAATATAACATGAAATTAACAAGTGCACTGTATTAGGGAGAACGAGGAAGATGAGATGACCTTGAGACCGAAGGTAGATATGATCTAATGTCAGCCCTGTCTCATGACCTAGAATGCAATTACTTTAAAAGAACTCAAATTACTAGATGTTATTTAGGTCCCAAGTGCCTTACTCTTTTGATAACCATTGTATTCCTTTTAAATTTAAGGAAGTTATTTTTAGAAAACCTTTAATTACAAAAAAAAAAGTAGGATTGTAACCGGGAACTGTGTTTTCTTTTCTTTTTTTTTCCCTCTTCTTTCAGATTGTAATTATGAATGTAGTGTATAATTACCTAGATTAATTTTTTTAAACATATTTCTGAGTGCCTTACAATTCTTGCCGAGAGAATACAGAAAGAGGCTGAGCATATCATCTCACTGTGGTCAACAGAATATACTTGATGTTTATTCAAGAAATCTGTTTACCTTCATAACTGCATAATAGGGTCATTAAAGACAATGGATACAGTAGTTTAAAAGTAATACAATTTACAACAAAGTGTATTTAATTTTAAATTGAATTGCCAGCAAATGGGTGTCCTTATGAACCCTTGTATCAATGTAGCTCTAATGAGATTAAAGGAAATCAGTTGTATCATAGGAAAGTAAATCAGCAATGAGATTCCAAAAGGCTTCTCCTCCAGTGAGGCACAGCTATTGTAACTGATGGCCTTGCCCAGTAAATCAAGAGAAGTGATAGGATCCTTTTTAGAATAATGGATTTGGTAAAGCAGGAAAATATGCCAGTATCTGATAACAAGGAAAAAAGTTAACAATAAGCACAAAATAAAGTGAGTGAATATTAATAACAAGAGGAAAGGAATCAAGGAACATTTTTTAAGGTAAATATTTTTCAAATTTTATTTTATTGTAAAGATGCCATACAGAGGAGTTGCAGTTACATGAGTGAAGTAATGAGTACATTTCTTGTTGAACATTGTTACCCCCTCCTTTGTTTTTCTCCTACTATCCCTTCCCTTCCCCCCTCACTCCCCCTCTCCCTACCCCCCTCAAAGTTTGAGAAGAAAATTCACCTCTGGAAAGTGGCATTAAAGAAAAAAATTGCTGGGGACCAGTGATTCATGCTTATAATCCTAGTTACTCAAGAGGCTGAGATCTGAGGATCACAGTTTGAAGTCAACCCAGGCTGAAAAGTCCCTGAGTGACTCTTATATCCAATTAACCACCAGAAAATCAGAAGTTATGCTGTGGCTCAAAGTGGTAGAGTGCTAGCCGTGAGCAAAAGAACTCAGAGATAGTGCCCAGGCTTTGAGTTTAAGCCCTATGACCAACCAACAAAAAAAAAGTTAATGTTGTATAATAGCTATTCACTTAAATTTCATTTCCAAGTTTCTTGAACAATTGGTAAGATTGAAGGGGGACTAAATAAAAAATCAAGTTATTACAAGTCTTATCAAATACTGTCAGCCCTTTATATATGTATATATTGAATAAACCAGTCGTAGATCAAAACTGTAGCAAGGTCTGTGATGGATGGACAGTATAGTGAAACAACTGTTAAAATTAGTAACCATAAGAATATACTATATAATAACGATTAAGAATTAATGATTATGTCATATTACAATGATTTAAAGTACACAGAAGGATATGGATAGGCTAGATGCGAACACTATACTCTTATGTAGATGACTTGAGCATGTGTAGATTTGGCTGCCCATGGGGGGTTCTTGGAGCCAGTCTCTCACAGCTATATAAAGACGGCTGTATTTGATCTCTTGGCAATTTTGACAACATGACATTTTAATTGCTGGGAGATCAGTAGTAAATAAAGTGAGTCTTATATTTTATGAGGCCAGACTTCAAAAGCCACTTCCTCTCTGACTTTAATCAGCTGCAGCACCTGTAATGTGGTGTTTATTTAATTGCTAGTTAATCTGACAAAATGTTGAAGGAAAACATCAAATTGTATTGTGATTCCAAAGACAAACTTCTCTCTCTCTCTCTTTTTAAAAAGGACCTATTTTCGTTTTTCTGTCTTGCTTCTTCATCATTGCAGAACTCCATGTCCAACATTGATTGAAGACTTAACTGTTGGCAAAAAGGGGTGTGCCACCAAATCCGGGTCTCTCACACAAGTAACTAAGGATTCCAGGGGAGCAGCAGGATCTTGCTGCCAGGTGAGCTCTTAGAACTAACTTTTTTTCCCCTCGTGCAACATGTGAAATGAGGAGATTGACTGTGTAGATCTACTTGCCTCTTGTACTTTATCTCTAATAGTACAGATGAGAGAAACAGTTTAATAGGTCTTGATGCGCGTTTTTTTTTAATGAGACTTTGAGGCTAGTATCTCTCAATGGCAAAGCCTGGAGAATTCCTTAAAACAGGAAGTCAGTGAGAGAAACTCAGTCCCTGTTGTACAGTGAGACAGGGCCTGTTGCCATGCAAATGAGACAAGGTTTGAGAGTTGATGAATCTTCTATCTGCATCTCCTACTCATCTGACACACGCTTTGAGGAAGGTTGTAAATGCAAGAGAGATTGTGGTGTAATTCCTCAGCCTGGCATTTCTGCCCCTAGTCACCATTCGATTATCTTCCAAATTGCTGTGTTTCAGAGAGATAAAGATTTTTTATGGCTTGCTGACTTGAAACAACCACAAGAGCCAGCAAAAAGATGGTGAAGCAGCCATGCATAGTAATTCCATTGGTAAATGACAAAATCTTTGTTTGTCTGACATTTCCAAAATTACTACAGAAGATGAATCTAAAACACAAAATGTCACATTTGGCATGCAAAAACTATCACAATATATTTCAGTATAAAATTCATAGAGGCGTTTAATTTAGAATGTGTTTAATAACTCTGTCTGCCTGCATCAGTAATCCTGCCTTGAGGTTTAAAAAGATTGTCTTATTTATTCACAGGGAGATAATTTTTAAAATATTTTTGGAAGCCAAAATATTAAGGTTAAATCTTTGTTGTTAATTAAGACTTTCTAATTAAATGAAAAATAATCGTTATTTTGATTCATTTTTAAGTATGACTTATATGAGTAAACAAAAGAAACGGAACAACTTCCAATGCTTATTTAATGGTGATTTAATTCTAGAAGCATACAATCTATATGGAAATATAGATATTATGTATATTATCTTTATTTAAAGATAAAGTCCAAGCAGGATTAAGAAATCCTTTCTGCAGATTAACTTGAATGGCAAGAAAGTAACTTGGTCCCAGCAAATGACATTTTTTTTCATTAAAGTACAATGTGTCAGAGAACTCTTTAAGGTCAAATTATTCTGAACACAACATAACAAGTTAACATGTCTGAGTATAGGATCATGATTTGATGCCATTTGGGCTATTAGTAATCTTGGTTTAATATTTGTTTAATGAAATAATAATTAATTGAAAATCACTGATTTGTATACACTTTATGGCACTTATTGAAAATGAAGTTGGCTTGCTTCCCTTACTGTGGATAAACAGGGAGTTCAAATATGTTGTAAAATGTTAAGTCACATGTGTACTAGTTAGTCATAAAGAGCAATGAAATTATGTCGTTGGCAGGGAAATGGATGGAACTGGAGATCAGCATGCTTCAGTCAGGTTCTGAAGGATAATGATCACATTTCCTCTCATATGTAGATGCCAGACTGGAAAGATAAAGGCTCCATTGGCTTATGCCTGTTATCCTAGTTACTCAAGAGGCTAAGATCTGAAGATCTCAGTTTGAAGCCAGCCCAGGCAGAAAAATCCCTGTGAGACTCTTATCTCTAGTGAACCACTCCCAAACAGGAAGTGGAGCTGTGGCTCAAAGTGGTAGAGTGCTAGTCTTGAGCAAAAGAAGCTCAGGGACAGCTCCCAAGTCTCGAGTTCGAGCCCCACAACCGACAAAGAAAAAAAAGATAAACATATATGTAACACATATATGTAACATTCAAATATATATACATATACATATATGCATATCATATACATAGGATATATACATGTATATATAGGCATATATCATATATATGTGTATATGTGTATATATACTCATATACCTATGTAAATATATTTATGTATATATATCCTATACAATGGACAGTAATAGAAAACAGGTTCTGCCAGGGCTGGAGGTACTAGTGGGGGAGGGAAGAGTGAACAGAGAGAATGAATATGGGCCCAGTATTTTATGTATATGTGTGAAAAATAGAAGAATAGAGACTGGTTTGAGGAGAGAGTGTGATAGAGGGCCTAAGTCTGATGAAGATCCCTTGTACATATACAGAGACAAACCAAAACAAAATCCTTCTGGGACAACTAATTAATGCTAATGAAAATGTAAAATAATGTTAAGTCACACCCCTCAGTTGCATACAATTTGTGCTAAGTTTCAGGGTGAAGTATATAATATTAGCTCCTATATTTTGATCAGCTGAGGTGTTAGTCTGACCCGCTCTGCTTTGCACTTATTGGTGTGACATTAGTGTCTGTGATTATTGTTGGACAGGTTATCATCTGTCAAGTTTCCCGTGTGAAGTTTAGCACCTAGGTTTATCTTACCAACCCCTAATATCTTCAGAGGTATGCTGTGTGGTTTTAGAAGTGTTGATTTCCTGTTAGTTCTATCTTATTATACTAAATGAATGGTTCCTGATGTCACAGCTCATTAGCATACCATGTTTCAAAAAAATTGGCCAAACTTTCCTTCCCATCCTCAGGAGAATTGCCTTTTGGCCTTTTAATTACATACCGTGTGTCCTCAACGGTTCTCCCTGCTAATACCTGACAATTACAGGTTGAGTAAAATAATTGTCTGCTTTTTTCTTTCTGAGAAACCTGTTGTTGCTAATTGTGTGGTTTTACCCAGTTCCTGTGTAATTCAAGAACTCCCCCTTTTGTGTAGATTGAGCAGTCTTAGTTGCCCCAGACCCTTCAAATACAGATCAAATGCACTCGGGGTCTGAAGGACAAGGCTTCTCAAGGCTCTGACTTTCTCAGAATGTCTCTACTGTGCCAACCGGGGAGCTGTGTCTTGCCATGGTGGCAAACGGAGCACCTGAAGACCAGAACACACTCAGTTCAACACAATGGGAACTGCTACAATGTTGGGCTGTATTTCCATGAAGTCCTTTGTGTGGTAAGCGGATCCATGCACATATTATCATCTCTTTATGTAGTTCTTGGCTCTCTCTACCTGCCTACCTTCCTCTCTGTCCATGCAGCATTTCAATAACCAACTTAGCGTATGGATTTTATTTGTGTATTCTTTCACACAGTCATCCACTCACTCAATGCAACAAAGCACCCATTATGCACCGTGTACTGTTAGGAGCCATGCATGTATGCCTTCAGTCCTGTGTCAAAGGGAAATGCCCCTGGGTGCTGCTGGTAGCTCACAGCTGTAAATTCTAGCTGATCAGGAAGCTGAGATGTGAGAACTGAGGATTGGACAAGGAAAGTCTGTGAGACTTTTTTTATTTATTTATTTTTTCTTATGTGGTGCTGGGGAATCGAACCCAGGGCCTCATGCATGCAAGGCAAGCGCTCTACCACTGAGCCACCTTCCCAGCCCCTCTGTGAGACTTTAAAGTCCAACAAACCACCAAAAGGCTGAACGTGGAGGTGTGGGTCAACTAGTAGAGCACCAACCTTCAGGAAGTGCACAAGACACTGAGTTCAAGCCCCAGTACTGACACAAACACAAACAAACAAACAACAACAACAACAAAGAAATACCAACCTTTCTTGTCAAGAATACGTAGTATGAATTCTTCATAAGGTTCTCTCCTCTTTAGGATTTGTGAATGCAAAACTCTGACACATGCATTGCATGTGTAACACATGCAATGTGTAGGAAGTGTATGTGTAGGAAGGCATGGCCACTCATTTCAGGTGAGACCCAGACTTTAAGTCAGAGGACAAGTTGGAGAAAGTGTTATGAACGTATGTGATGGATAGAGGGGATCATGAAGAGCATGTGAAGGAGTTTGGGAGAGACAATGCTGTTTTGAAGGAGTGGGTCATGCTGAAGAGTGATCTGGGAAGGATGGAAGGAAGGGTCTCACAGCATCTAGCACCTGTGAATGCAGAGGGGCTGGCACAGGCTTCTCTGTAGCATCTGTTCTGGGCAGATGCTGACTCCCTGAAACTCCTGTCCTAAGAGAAAAGAAAACTGGGGGCTGAAGAAGTCCTAGGAGTGGGTGATGGCCCCAGCTCAGACTGTTTACAAACATGAAAACTGCCATTTACACTGGTATTTTCTTTTTGTTTAATTGAAAATGTATTTTTTTTACTTTTAAAGTATTATTATTAAATAGTTGTACAAAGAGGTTAGAAAGGGGTTACAATTCTATAACTCAAGTTATGAGTGCATTGCTTCTTGGTCAGTATCACCCCTTCCTTTGTTCTTCCCCCATTTCCCTACTTTCCTTCCTACACTCAAATTACATGGTTCATTTTTTAAAACATAATGTACATTGAATATAATGATCACATTTTCTCACACTGCCTCCTTCTATTCTGGTGTCTCCCCCTCCTTTGCCCACCTCCCAACGTGTTTGCACTTCCTGGTGTTAATTTTGATAAATAGTTCAATAGTTGTTCAGAGGAATTTCATCTTAAGATACTTACCCTAAGTATAACTTCCTTTAGTCAGTTTATTTATGTATAAAAGCATAGAGCCTGTATATGTCATTGTGCATAGTTGTATTTTAAATTTAGCTTCTTCATATGAGAGAAAACATGAACCATTTTTCTTTCTGAGTCTGGCAACACTGGCATATTCCACTATAAGAAAATTGTAAGAGTTGGGCACCTGTGGCTCAGGAGCAGCTACTCAGTAGGCTGAGATCTGAGGATTGCAGTTCAAAGTTAGCCTGGGCAGGAAAGGCTGTAAGACTCTTACCTCCAATAAACCACCAGAAAACTGGAAATGGCGCTATGGCTCAAGTGGTAGAGCACTAACCTTGAGCTGAGAGACAGTGCCCAGGCCCAGAGTTCAAGCCCAAGACTGGCAAAAAAAAAAAAAAGAAAAAAGAAAGAAAATTGTAAGAATCAAATGGACCTCACAGGGTGATAGATGAGAAGAGAATACTTTTCCTTAACAGGAAACAGATCTTCAGCCTTAAATTTTCACCACCTTAACTTTCCAGATATCTAAGATCCCTGAAGACAGTGGCTACTTTTTTATTAACAGATATAATTAAGTTGTTCATGGTTTCCTTGTGATATTTCTGTGCATGCATACCGTGTAACTAATCAAACTCACTCCAGCCTTCCACCCTATCTTCCTCTACCTGCTTCTTAAAACAGCTTCAATAGTTTCTATTGTTCTGTTTTCTTACATATAAAGAAAGTACTTTACCCAATTTACCTTCCTTTGCCTTCTCTGTTGGCCTATCCCCTCCCATTTAGTATCCATGGCCAAACAACATCCATTTTCTGTTCCTGTCATTTGTGTTTAAGTATATAAAAACTGTCAAAGTGGTTTCACCATAGTATTTTACACAGACACACAGACATACACACATATGGATACTTTAATCGATTAACCTTTATTTTTTTTTGCTAAGAACAACTCCATAGTGAATTATGAGAACGGAAAGAAATGCAGTATTAACAAAAACCACACCATGGAGGTCCCAAATAACCATTATATTTTTATAAGTTAATGAGGGTTAGCTGGCATGCCAGTGGCTCATATCTGTAATCCTCACTATTCAGGAGGCTGAGAACTGAGGGTCCTGATTCCTGATTCAAAGCTAGCCCTAGTGAACAAATCTGAGAGACTCTTATCCAATAAACTAGGAAAAATCCAGATGTAGAACATCAGCCTTCAGTGAAAAAAGCTAAGCCAAGGTGCAAGGTCCTATGTTGAAGCCCCAGTGCTTTTGCAGAGAATGAAAGAGAGAGGGGGAGGAGAGAGAGAGAGGGAGAGAGAAAGTATAGATAAGGGTTAAAAATAAAAAGTGAACACAGTCCTTATTGGAAACCATGAACTAAAAGATCATTTAGTGAATATCACTTATTGTTATTATTATTATTGCTGTCTGGGCTTGAACTCTGGGTCTAGGAGCTGTCTCTGAGTTTTGATACTCAAGGCTAGTGCTCCCACTTGAGTCACAGCTCAACTTCTAGCCTTTTTTGATGCTTAATTAGAGATAAAGAGTCTCATGGACTTTTCTGCCCAGGCTGGCTTTAAACCATGATCCTTAGCTCTCAGCCTCCTGAGTAGCTAGAGTTACACACATGAGCTACCAGTTCCCAGTTTCTCTACTTATTCTTAAGTTATCTCGTTGCCAGCAGCAGACATAACTTAGAGAACTGATAGTCATAGCAACAGTGATACCAAAGAAGCCTTTGAAATAGAAACTTAAGAATTTATTTCTGGGAAGAGATTAAGGAGGAGGGGGATCTTGGCCAAGAAGATCCACCCAGGAGCCAACAGTCTTCTGGTTCACTTGAGAAGGGGTATAATAAAGCCTGCTTATCACAAAAATGTGAGAAAGGACCAAGCACCTGTTCACCGAAATAGGTCAATACAGAGGAAGGATTCAAATTCTTTTTTATTAGTATTATAATAATTATGCTGGCCAGTTGATAGTGAAGCCCATAAATTTTTACCCAGTAGACTTTTCTTTTAATTAATATGATAAAGGCTTATATTTCAGATAACTTTCAAATTAACCTTTGGTTGAGAACAATGGAGGTTAACAAGTTTTTCTCCCTGAAGTCATCCCAAAGGCCTCATTAAGAAGCTTGGGTATTTGTGCAGAGTGTTAGTCTAGGTTGCTTATGGAGATGGATTTTCCTCTGGGAAGCCAGAAGTGCTAGAAGCACAATTCAGAAGGACAGGTATGAGTAGGAATCAGGCATAGTTCAGGCCCTGAGTTAAAATCTTACCTCTCACCATTTGTAGGAGAAAACTTCAAGAATGGGAGAGTAGCTAAGAAATGTGAATATCCATATCCCTATTCATGTGCATGTACTTATACATACATATAATGCTAGGCAGGTGCTCTACAACTTGTGCCACATTGTTATTGTTTTAGTTATCTTTCAAATAGAGTTTCACGTTTTGTTCAGGGACAACCTTGGGCTACAATCCTGCTACCTATACTTCCTGTGTAATTGAGATCACAGATACAAACCACCATATTCAGCCTGTTGATTGAGATGAAGCCTTGGCCTTTGGCCTCAAACTGAAATTCCTCCAATCTCTACTTGCAGATTCGCTAAGATAATAGGCATAAACTTCCACACCTGACCCTGTGTATACATATATATGTATATACATATGTACATATACATCCAATCAGCACTAATACGTCATTCTATTCCCTTGGCACATTTTAATCAAATACCCAAAAATGTGAACATAGAGGTAGGCTACAAAAAAATAATCTTTGAAGAGCTTGCTGGTTTTGAAGCCATCTCTATAAATAACAGTTTTACATTGAAAGCTGATATAAGTGGTTTTTTTAAACATTCATTTAGTGGGCAATCTGGGTGCAGAAACCTTGTCTATTGATTTTTATCCTCTGTAGAGGATATTCCATGTAGAAAGATTAAAATTGGGTGCTTTTGTTTGGATAAAGTATCCCCTAGTGGTCTATGTATGAAAGGCTTGGCCCCAGGTGGCACTACTGGGAGATGGTAAAACCTTAGAAGGTGAAGCCTGGTGGGAGGTCTTTAAGTCATTGGGGACTGTGAGACTCAATCTCTTTCTCTTTGATTCCCAAGTCATAAGGATAATGGTTATTTTTCTCTGCCATGCCATACCATGATGTGCTATCTTGTCAGAGTCCAAAAGCAATGGATACAACCGAAGTTGGATTAGAATAGCCAAAACTATGAGCTAAAATAAACATTTCCTCTATATAAACTAATTGCCTCTGTTATTTTATCATAGTGGCAGAGAGCTGACAGAGTATACTGTGGAGAAAGTGTCAGGAAAGATCATAGTTTGAAGAGTTGCATCAAGATCATCTCCAGGGAAAGGGTATATTACTGTCAGATTGAGGTTGCAAAGTAAAATGCTCATAGTATCACAGTATTAAAAACTACATTGACTGCAGGGATAAGCAAAAGCTAGCAATTCTGCCAACAACAAATGCATTTTCTATTCCTGCAAAACAG